TCAGCTTGATCTTGGCACTTGAACAGAATCCTTGCACCCAATTTCTTAAACGCTTCCAAGCCCTACCTGGCCTTTGTTCTCTGCTGTACTGCATGAGTATGGTAGGATGGATGGTCCCTCTAGTTCCCCACGTTAATCACTTTGTGTACACCCGTTCAGACTTTGGCAAAGTCCTAATTCCATGTTTCCCAAATGCAAATGACGTGACTTGAAAATGGCTGCGGCCCAGTTACAACTTAAGGTGGCTCAGCAACCACGAATGCTAATTGCTGTTATTTTTATTAACTGTGGCCTAATGTTTCAGGTGCAGGAAAGCCCGTCAATCTGAAGGTGTATCTGCAGAATTACACCTTAAATTGGTAGATAATAATTAAGAACTACAACAAGCAATAGCAAACCTCTTTGTGACTGAATTCTTCCAAGTATAAATGAGGATAACAGTACATATCTTACAACAGTGTGCTGATCAAATGCATTATTATACTCAGATCACTTTTGTGCCTCACAGATGGCTAAGGACTTGATAAAATAGCATTTTTCTTACACTGCACTGGAAACGTGGAAAGTAGTCATGTACAAACCTTTCCAAGTAGGAGGTCTTTTCCTTCTCAGAGAAGGAGAGTTTGAGAGCTCTTACAGACTGCAAGCCACAGGAGGCTGGGAAGAGAATTCTGTGGTCTCGTCTCCTAACGTGTCCCTCTGCTGTGAGCCTTGTGGGCCAACTCTTGAGCCTGCACACAGTGTGGACACGAGAAGACATTCTGTCTTTCTAGTCGGCTGTTGACTTTGGGCTCCATCATGCAGCTCTCTGCCTACCTCTGGACCTCAGACACGGAGCCAGGAGGGGAGTAACTTGCCAGTGTTCAACTGCATATCAGAGAAAGCCACGGAGACAAAGAGCTCCACAAGGAACCTCACAGCCGCTCTGTTTACTGCCAAGCCATGGCCTTAATGCACGGATATGCCTGCAAGCCAACAGCCAGAACCACACAGTTCCACTGGTTCACTTAGCTGTGGCATTTCAACGCACTGAGGAAGCTGTTCTTTGGGTTGCTGTCTCATTGTTAAAAGGTAAAAGCAGAAACTCCTCTCCACTCATCAGAAAATTGGTTTACTAAAATCACTACGAGGACATCTGCCCTACCCCAGCCCCTACTGTGAGAACAGCTCTGTTGCCTTGTGTGATCAAACAGCGAAAATCCCAGCTTTCCCCACTGGTGATCCTTGATTTCCTTGTGGTCACTCTTTCCCACAGGGCTCACTTGGATGGGCCAGCATCTGCATTCCAGGGTAGGTGCAGGCCTGTGGCCAATGCTGAGTCTGTCTCCACCCCAGCCTCTCTAAAATGAAACACTTTTAAGAGACGGCTTCATTTGTATTCCAATAGCTTTTCAGATATTCCCTAATGTCTTTTACCTTCAAACACACAAACAAAAGGAGTCACCGTTCTTCCCATACATGGGACTTGCTTGTTTCTTCAAATGGTGCCCTCAAATTCAGTGACTACATGTTTTCTGCCTGGAAGCTGTGATGATTTGAGTTCTTAAAAATGTCTCCAATTGGAAAGCTACCCAGAGGACTTCACACAAGAGAAATTCTGATGTTACAAATAGGAGCTTGTCATCATTGGAGATGTTTACTTCACTTAAGTCAAAATATATGTTGGGCATCTCTTCTTGGCCAGGCACCGGGCTAGGACTTTAAGCCAAGCAGCCAGTTTGACAGAGGTAGGCACTTAAAACCATGTGTAGTGGGAGCCCAGAACAAGGCACCTGTTCGTGGTGGTTGACAAAAAAAGGTAAAGGAATGGGCTCACCAAGGGCAGGCCACAGAGAACAAGATTGCAAAGTTCTAGGCACCACGACACACTGCAAAGCCTTCCTAGAAACATATCAATTGGGAACAAAAACTAAATCCTGAGTACAGCAAAGGTAGCTAGCACTAGTATCTTCTTCATAGATTCTGAATACTCAAAATTCATCTCTCGCTACAAGAGCTTTCCTTCTTAGAAACACGAAGTTTTATTTTGTTTTGTTTTAACAAATCCATGTTTGTTAAATGCAGGAAATGGCAGCCGGTAAGAAGAAGAGACTTATCCAAGGTCGGGCCGAGGTCAGCGCCCTGAACTCTGAAACGCAGAGGACATGGAGGCAGACACCACGATTCCTGCCTTTTGTGTTCCAATCAGACCACCCTGCCATCCAAGAAAACCAATCCCATGTCTTGGTTTTGAGCATTTGAAAATGGAAAGAAATGTGACAGGTCAGAATCTCAGATTCCCTGGCTTTCTGATTACTTGCAAATCCACACAAGGCTCACATATCACTCCTCTCGAGTTGTGTCAGCCTCTGAATTTGTTTGGTTGTCAAGTGAGTGATGAAAACTTAAAAGCTATGTTGATATGTACAGCATGTGGGAAACCACTCCCAGGTTCTCTCCGCTGTGAAAAGGCCAGAGGCACACACACACATTCTTACACCCCCGGACAGACCCATTTGTCCCCTCGTGCATACATCCAGCACCGTCAGACACTCTGCTTAAAAACGACGCTGTGTGCTGACTTGATGGGAAGCTATGGGCTAGGATCTCAGACACTGGCCAAGAAAAGATGGGATCCAACCCATCCCTAGACCACAGGAAAAATACTTTCAACCACAGAGCTGGCTGCAAAATACTCTTTTTGTAGGAAACAAAATGTTTCCAGCCCTGGGATTTTGGGGGAGGGGGGTGGGGAGCGGGGGTGTGCTTTCACTGCTATTGAGTAGCAAAGGCAAAAGCTTAAGCAAGAGGCCAAGTAAACATCTCGGGAAACCCAAGCCAGGCTCCTCTGGAGAGTAGAACAGGGTGAATGAGCAGCACCCAGCGGAGGCACTGGCCTTTTAGAAGCTTTGGGGGAGCGGCAACCCAGGCAGTGCTCTAGCTGTTTATGACCTCAGTTTAAGCTTCCTTTCCTGCAGCTCTGCTTACGGATCGAGTCGACTCAGACAAACTACTTAACTTTCCTGAGCCTCAGGTTCTTAAGTGTCAAGTATGAACAACAATAGTAATATCAGAGGCTCCCATAAAGAATATACGAAACACACACAGAAGCTGCACAGTGTCCCTGCGTATAGTAGCACTCAAGAAATGGGATTTGTTAAGATAGGTCCACTAACTCCTACAGGTCACTATGGAACTATTGTGATGGGCCATTGGAATGCAAAAAATTCCTTAGAGATTAATAGTAACTCTCCAGCCCCTATACTTTATTTTTTATTTATTTTTTTATTTTTTGACAGAGTGGACAGTGAGAGAGAGAGACAGAGAGAAAGGTCTTCCTTTGCTGTTGGTTCACCCTCCAATGGCCGCCGCGGCCAGCGTGCTGCAGCCGGCGCACCGCGCTGATCCAATGGCAGGAGCCAGGAGCCAGGTACTTATCCTGGTCTCCCACGGGGTGCAGGGCCCAAGCACTTGGGCCATCCTCCACTGCACTCCCTGGCCACAGCAGAGAGCTGGCCTGGAAGAGGGGCAACCGGGAAAGAATCCAGTGCCCCGACCGGGACTAGAACCCGGTGTGCCGGCGCCGCAAGGTGGAGGATTAGCCTAGTGAGCCGCGGCGCCGGCCCCCGGCCCCTATACTTCATAAATAAGGTAACAGTCCTGAGAGATGGAAGAGTCTGACCACATCATCCAGGCAGCTGTAGGCCTGGGGACAGGACCCTGCAGACAGGGTACAGAGAGTAGAGCTGGATTTCACTCACATCATAGGAGATTCCATGTGAGGTCAGGTGACAACAGACCTCAGGTTGATTTTGTGTTTGTAAAAATCATCCAGGGATGTAGAAGTGAAGGCTACCAGCCTCACCTCCAGAGCTTCTGATTCAGACTGGGAAAGCCCAGGAATCTGAATGTTTTTGTAAGCTCTGCAGTTCCTAGAGGGATTTCTAGAGGGATTTCTCTATTTGTCAAGAAGCACTTCTGGGTTGGTGTTGTGGTGCAGTAGGTTAAGCCTCCTCCTGTGGGGCCAGCATCCCATACAGGCACCCGTTTGAGTCCTAGATGCTCCACTTCTGATCTAGTTCTCTGCTAATGGCCTGGGAGAGCAGTGAAAGATGGCCAAAGGGCTTGGGCCCCTGCACCCACGTGGGAGACCTGAAAGAAGCTCCTGGCTCCTTGCTTCGGATTGGCCCAGCTCTGGCTGTTGCTGCCATTTGGGGAGTGAACCAGTGGATGGCAGACCTTTCTCTCTCTCTTGCCCTCTCTTTGTCAGCAACTCTGCCTCTCAAATAAACAAATCTTTAAGAAGAAGCATTATAAAGGGACATGATCAGCCAAATATCTAACTGAGTAGAGGGTTAGGGTTGCATCCTGCCCTTTAGTATAAGCAAATGAAGTAGCAAAGAACCCACAGATAATGAGGAATATTTCCATTGTACAAAAAGTTAGTGAGGTGTTGCATGGCACTGCTTCACAGAAGCAGGGAAGGCACACATTTCTTAGATCACTCAGCTATTGTGACAGAAGAGGAACTTGTGAGTCAGAGTCCCATGTCTAAGATCACATATCTAATAGAGACAGATCTGGAACTTAACTCTAAAATACCATTTTATTTTTCATAGTGGGAACTCCTTTTTTTGAGGTATGTGGAAATACATATATTGGTTGATATATCTATGTTATATAATCCACGAATTAATCTTAACCTCTGAAAGAATTAAAAAAGCATCCTAGTTTTCTGATGCACTCAAGTGCTAAAGTCCTCTCGTCATCTTCTGGGCTGCCATTCTGTACGCTAATGAAGGAGACTCGATCTGAAGAAGAGACCAACAAGGCCTACGATGCCGAGCATTTTAGAGACACTAGAAACTACAGTTGTGTTGCTGTACACCACCTGCTTCCTTTTCATTAAAATTGTGCTTGCTCTTTTAATATAAAACATATACCTGACCCCAAGTTCTACAAAGTTCCATGCGTCATCAAATAACCACATAAGTATCCTGGCTAATGACTACTGTATTAAAGAATCTGGGAACTTCCTAGACACAACCCGGATAAATTAATGATGGGGTTGGATTCAAGTTATTTTCAAAAGGATGGAATTTCAGCTGTTCCCTGTAGTGATGGAGCAATAATCTCTTTGCAATTTCTGGGGTTTTGCCCCCACAGACTACAAATATGGATTGCTTTCTACTTCTTGGTCCAATGCTGAAGAATCCAACAAGGCATGTAAGTACAGTTCTTCCTTGTCTACTTTCCTTTGATAAATGCTTTTAAAATTTATTTATGTTTTTACTTGAATCGTGGAAGAAAGGGAGGGAGGGAGGGAGGGAGGGAGTGAGGGAGAGAAAGAGAGAGAGAGAGAGAGAGAAAGAGAAAGTGAGCTCCCATTCACTGATTCACTCCCCAAATGCCTTCAACACCCAGGGCTGAGACAGGCTAAAGCCAGGAGCTTGGAACTCAATCTGAGTGTCTCATCTAGGTGGCAGGGACCCAGCTACTTTCAGTACACGTTAGCAGGAAGCTGGAATTTGGAGCAGAGTCGAGACTCAAACCCAAGCACTCTGATATGGAAGGTGTGCACACCCTGATAATAAATGCTTTAAGACAGCAATGATCTTCATCCCAACAGACTCCCTTCTGAACATTGCCATGTAAGGTAGGCAACATAGCAAAGTGAAAATCATGGTCATTTTGGGAAAAAAAGTCAATAATGCATTCTATGGTTGGATGATGCATATCTTCAGAAATATCTCTATGTTCCAATTCATTGTCAGCAATAATGGCCTTAGTAAAGATTTGTTATGGGGCTGGCGTTGTGGCACAGCAGTTTTAGCTGCCGCCTATGATGCTGGCATCCCATATGAGAGTACCACTTTACATCCCGGCTGCTCCATTTGCAATCCAGCTCCCTGCCAATGCACCTGGAAAGGCAGCAGAAAGATGGCCCAAATATTTGGGCCCTTGTCACTCACATGAGAGACCAGGATGGATTTCCTGGCTCTGGGCTTCAGCTTGGCCCAGTCCTGGCCATTGCAGCCATTTGGGGGAGTGAATCAGCAGAGGGAAGATTTTTTTCTCTCTTTCTCTGTAACTGCCTTTCAAATAAATAAATCAATCTTGAAAAAAAAACATTTAAAAAAATCTGGTCAATCTTATAACCATAATTATTGGCCAAATAAGGTCAAAAGAAGAGGGTTATATGAGTCTTATAGAATCTGAGGTGGCATCGTATTTAAAATACAAATACAACTCTGACCACTTAATAATCATTTCCCTCCTGGAGAAAATTCTGGCTTTTAGAGCTGTTCTTTTCCTCTGGGTCATCAGGGCATCCGAAGAATGCCAACTTTTCTATGACCCACACCAGTTAAAGGATGGGAGCCTGCCATGCTTTCAACAAGGGAAGGGCAGGGTGTGGAGGAGCACACACAGACCCTGGAGTATTTCAACACACCTCTTCTGGAGGAGCTTCTGTTGGTTTTAAACCCTCAAATCCCCATGAGACATTATTTCCAGCCACTAAAATATTTCCTGAGCTTAGATACATCTGGAAAGTTTTGGAAAATCCTACAGGAAGGAGACTAGGCCAAGAGAGTGCCTTTTCTCATGCCATTCAGGAAGCACTGAACAGGAAAACATTTGCCCTCCAAGGCAGCCCAGCTCTTGGGGCTGGAGAACCATGGTAGACAGAAGAGTCATTTGGGAACCAGAGACACTAGAGAACAGATTTGGGGTGTTCCATTAACCACTTACCAACCAGAGAGTTTATGTAAAACTGTATCAGTCAAGGCCACATCAGAAAAACAAGATTCATCCCAGGTAGTTCAAGAGAAAGAATTTAATCATGGAAACTAGTTATGAATGCATTGAAAGAATTGAAGGAAAAGAGGGGAGGGTGAGGTAACCCTGAGACTAGCAACAAGAGGAAGCTGTCACCATCTCTAGGGCTGGAGGAATTGGAAGAGGGGCTGTCACTAGAGCCTGGAGGCTGCACCTGCTAGACTGGGGCTGAATCAACAAAAGGATCATGGGGGAGGAGCTGGTATCATTATCACAGACAGCATTAGAAGCAAGAGTGTGATAGAAACAAGAGGCTTCTCTCATCCTTCCTGCAGGGCCCCGAACTAAGCAGAATCAGTAGACAGAGAGCCTGGGAAGTAGAAACTGCAGAGGTTAGCTCCCTGTGGTACCAAGTGGAGCAGGACAAAGCCAGGGAGTGTATCTGAGAGCAAATAAGCTATTCGTGGGCATTGTCCACTAGGGTAAGAAGTCCTGACTCCCAATTTGTAGATGAGTAACTTTTAGAAAAGTTCGAAGTCTAAACTACTAGCTCCCAAATTAGCTACTGATGTTACACCCCTGGACTTCTTAGGATCCATTCCCCAGAAGGCATCTCCAAATTCTGCAGCTGTTGGGGGTCCGTGTGGAGGAATGGGAGCAGCCACATGCTGTGCCATAATTACCCATGTCCCAAGAAAGGCCAGCTCTTGCTTACTTCCCAGGCTGGTCCTTTCTCCCACACTAGTCCATTTCAGTGAGATCAGAGGCCACCCCTCTCCCAGCTCTCTCCCACACGCCCTTCCCTCCTCTCTGTGCTGTAGATCCTGCCTCCTCGCCATGGCTTCTCACATTCCTCTTCCCCATTTCAATGCCCCCGATGTAGCTCGGGCTCTCACTTCTTGCCGTGCTATTTCAAATCCCGCCAACTCCAGGGAGCCTTGTAAGGGACAGATCTGATGTCACAGCCTTGCTGGGAGTCCCTTGGTGGGGCTCCTGAGACCCTTCTGGAACACATCTGGTTCACCCCTCCTCTCCTTGCCTTATCTTTGTAACTATGTGCCAAACACACTTTCCCCTTCCCCCACCTATGAGTGCAGACACATACCCTCCCCCTTAATACTAAAAAGAGACCATTTATAATTTCCACCCTGAGACCTTCGCTCATACAGCTTCCTTGGTCTCCTGTACCATCCACCGGGCAAATGCAAATACACGTCTCCGTCCTGCCTTAAGCATCATACCCTCCTCTGAGTCGCTCTCCGACCATCCTCTCCCTACGAGAGTCCTGACCTTCTCAGTATTGTTGCTCACACTGTTCTCTCTCACAGTTCCTTCAGTACCATCTTGTATTTATTTACACATCTGTTTCCTTCTACTAAGTATTCACCTCTAATGTATAGCTCTTTAGGGCAGGAACTTGGGCTTTACTTGACTTCACATTTCCAGTGTTTGGCAAACATATCCACCCGGCAAAGATCTGAAGGAAGAAAAAAAAAGGAGGAGGGGAGGGGTGGAGCGAAAAGAGGGGTGTCCAAAACTAAGAATTCTACCAGTCTTGTCTAAATGCCGACAGACTCTCTTGCAGAGCCAGTTACGGGAATCCTGGCATCTGGGGGATCCTGGAGCAGCTTTCTAAGTGGGAAAAGGACAAGGCTGGCATAAAAAGGCAAGGCCAGTGCTAGAATTGAGCCCTAAGGAGGAAATAGAGATCAGCTACAAAATAGAGCCCAACATTCCAGTGCAGGGCAGTGCAGACAGTGTGAATGCAGACAACACTGTCTTAAACAGCTACACGTGAGAGAGAGCAGAAACACAGACAGATCCACTGAATCTCTTTGTTTTAAGGAAGCACCAGCAGAAGGCACACAGGACTGCCTGTCTTCCCATTTTGCTAGACATTGAGCAAAGCTTCATTAGGGTGCTAGGACAAAACTTTCAGAAAAGATCCAGTAACTCAGGAAGTCTTGAAAGATAAAACATGGAATTGATTACTTTGTGGACGAAATTACATTCCAAGGGGAAAGTAAAGGGATAGGTGTCAGTCCTAAGCCATTCTGAATCATCAGTGGGAGAAGGGCTTCATCTCTGGGGTATACCATGATACTATCCGGGCCCTGCAGGCTCCCAGCGGAGGAGACCATGAGCACAGGAGATCAGATCTAACCCCACCGTGGGACAGACTCCACAGAGACACTCTGCTTCTTCTCTGACAACAAATGTTAGGATATTGGAGTCAGATCCAAAACATGGAAAAGATGCTGGCTGGGAAGACGAGAATTTGGAGGCTGAGAGAGAATGGGCTAAGACTTCCCCTGGCCCAGTGGCCACATTTAGAGGCCCATGTTGCCTGGCACTTAGTCTTCTTCAAGTGTTCTGTTGCCACACAGTGATACTAAGTAACTATCTCTCAGATAACAGCTCACTCAGTCCTTGGAAGGGCACATTCCCTCTTGGAGAACCATTGAAGGTAGACACACCACAGTGGTTGAAGACGAGATCTCTCTGCAGTTAATTCCAAGCAGCATGCAGGAATAATCTTATATTAATGTGGGGTTTGGTGCAGGACAAATGTTAAGAACCCAGGGATGTAGAGGGAGGGGTGTTTATGCGTGGTTGGGTGTGGGGAGGAAAAGAAGGGAACAGCTGTCTTTGCTTCTTAGAAGCCATGTGATTAGAGCAAAAAAAATTTTTAAAGATTTATTTGAAAGGCAGAGTTACTGAGAGAGTGGGAGAGGGAAAAGAAGGGGGTGGGACTTGCTGATTCACCCCCCAAATGGCTGCAACAGCAGGGCCATGGCCAGTCTGATATCAGGAGTCGACCATCTGGGTTCCCCACATGGTTGGTAGGAGCCCAGGCACTCGGTCCATCTTCCACTGATTTTCCAGGTGCATTTGCAGGGAGCTGGATCAGAAGTGGAGCAGCTGGGACTCAAACCAGTGCTTGTACGGGATGCTGGCATCGCAGGCAGTGACTTAATGTGCTGTGCCACAGCGCCGGCCTCAGGGCAAATGTTTAAAGCTCTATAAACTTCAACGTCCTCATCTATAAAGTAGACTGAGTAGTACCTACCTCATAAGGGTTGTGAGGCTTGCGCAGATAATGTCCATAAAGCATTTAGCAGGGTTAACAGGCATTAAGGAAGCCTACATGAGTGGCTGGAGAGACAGAGTGAAGTACCAGAGAGCCAGGCAAGTGGAGACTTTGGGTAGATTCTCCTCAATCCCTCCGAGACATACCAGGCCTCTCCTTTCTGATTATCCAAGGTTCGCATAGATGTACCTCTCTCTGGAGGTTTGATGCTCATGGGATTCTGTTAGCGGGACATGGATCATCGTCTTAGCTCAATCTCTCATTGCCAAATCTGAGTTAAGGACTCAGAAAACAGGCAGCAGGGTACAACCACTGCAGCTTGGCTCTCCAAAGGTGCTCTCAAAATCACAGTCCC